TATGCAATGTAGAGATATTAATAATGAAGTTGTTTTTTTATATTATTTTTTACAATTTTTTGCCTACTGTTAAATAATACTGTTAAATATCGAAGTAAAAAAAAAGAGAAAAACAAAAACGAAAAAATCAAAAATCAAACAACAAAGAGATTATTTCAAAAATGTTAAATAAAGAAGAGTTTAAAAACAAAACTTTTCAAAATTGAATCTGGGCATATTAGTTTAAAAAGCGATTTATATCTAATTTTAATTTGAGGGTTTTATTTCTTTTGCACCAGATTTGTTTGATTTCTTTTAGAAATGCATCTAAACTATCGTTTTCTCTTGCAAATTGGTATTCCTCATTCAGTATTTTTTTAATTCTGCTTTGAAATTCTACCAAGAGTGCAATCCTTGAAAACTTTTTATTTTCATGAAACGATCTTTGTCTGTTACAATAAATTTTATATAAACACTCGTTTAATATAATTCTTCCAATATTACATAATAATAAAATTTGTGATGGTGCAAAAAGAAATGTTTTGAATGTATTTTTTAGATGTGGGATTTGAGTGTATATTTTGTTAATGAGTAAAATTGAGTATTTTATTAAAGGCTGAACTTTTTTACAGTTATAAATCATGTGTGGTAGGTTTTCTTTTGTTTTCATACATTGGGGACTCTTTTGGAAGATTTCATTATTTGGTTGTTTAAAATGTATTAACTTGTATTGTTTTACATCTGCTTTGTTATTTGTGTTGTTTTTGTGTGTTGTTAGAAATAGTTTGACCCATTCTTTATCTGTAATGTTACGCATACTTTTTTTGAAATAATGTTTCCATTTCGAAAGGTTTACAGTAGTTTTATATTAAAAATTAAATCATGAATATTAAAGATTTTAGTTTTTTTACCATAGATTCACCTTACACTAACAATAAAGATGTGGCTAAAAGATGTGAATTTTTTGCTTGTACATTCAAAGTTATCATAAAAAGTTATGAAAAAGACATAATCCTAAACCCTGATATTTGGGATGCTAATATTATTGTTAAACCATTTAGGCTTCATCGTGTTACCTCAAGAAACGAAACACCACAGCAGAGTGCAGTTAATACGCTACACTCTGCACAACCAACTCAACAAATATTTTCTACATCTAAAGAACAACCATCCTTTGCACAGCAACATTCTTACTCAACTCGAATACTAAATTCTAATTCAAAATGGATAGAAACATAGAAAGTAAAACCTTTGAAAATATTTCTTTTTGTGCATATAACTGCCAAAGTTTTAAATCGAACTCAATTTATATTTCCGAACTGGTCAAATCATTTGATATTATTTTTCTATCGGAACATTGGCTTTTGAATATTGAAGTTTTTGTGCTAAAAAACATAGCATTGCCGACACATAAAGTATTTTTTCATGCGGCAGAAAAAAAAGCATTTGGAAGACCATTTGGAGGAAAAGCATTCATTATTAAAAAAGATGTTTTACTGTCTCCTCACATAATCTATGAAGATGACAATATTCTCGCTATTAAAGGTAAAAATAAGTGTCACAATCTAGTCTTTATTGGTATTTATCTCACATCATGTCGAAATAACGAGGAATCCTTTTCAAAGTACGAACAAGAATTAAACCTAATTACTTCAATTGTAAAAAACTACAAAGATGTTAGTGAATGTATTATTGCTGGAGATTTTCAGTCTTTTTCCGAAACACTCTACGATTCTGAGATCCGTAATAATAAAAAACGTAATAAATTCTCTAATCATCTAACTAATTTCATTAAATCAAATAAGCTCTCATTTATCGATATAATCAGTGGCGCTGGTCCAACATACACCTATCAGCATAAAACTCTATCTAACTCATCGTATATCAATCACATCGCAGCTCTAAAAGAGTCATCCTTATTATTTATAAATACAGGCGTTATTTCTCCTTCTCCTTTTAATTTTAGTGATCACTTACCAATCGCTACAAATATCGTCGTTACACATACTAATCTATTAACCGTAATAAATAGCATAATGCATAAATATAATTATATTCCAAAATATGCATGGAATAACGAAAAATTCATTAACATATATAATCATAACCTCTCCGTAGCTTTCAACTACTACACCTTCAATGAAGAAGAAATTGAACAAGAATTAAAACAAACATGCGAAAAAATCCAAAATGCTGCTTTGTTAGCAGTTAAGCAGTGCTTTAAACAACAAATCTGTAAGTATTCCAAATCATGGTGGACAACGGACCTTAAAAAATGCAAAGAAAATCTTTCATTTAACTATAAACAATGGCAAAAATCTAATTATAATAAAACACAAGAATACATTGAATACAAAAGATACATCTTTTCACGCAAAAACTTCCGTAAAGCAGTTAAAGCAGCTCATAACAAAAAGATCCACGAAAAAACTATAAATATTGAAAATCTCCGAACCACTAATCCTCAGAGGTTCTGGGATAACATCCGTAAAATCAAAACTAAAGCAACAGCTCGATTATTTACAATTAACAAATTACAAAATATAAAAGATATCGTTCAAGAATTTAGACAACATTTTCAAACTTTTCTCAATACGCCTCTTATTTTAAATAATGACCATAATACTTCTCAAATTCCACCTCTAAGTAAAGAGCCTAATTCACTAATCATAACATCAGCTGATATTATAAGTTGCATCTCACAATTAAATAGTAATAAGTCCCCAGATAGCTATGGGTTAAATGCTGAACACCTTAAAAACTCTCATAATAATAATCTTCTTTTGTGGCTCGCTAAATTTTATAACAGTATTCTATCGAATGGAAAAGTACCAAATGATCTATCAACTTCAACAATTATTCCACTTGTTAAGTCATAAAAAAAATCTCTTAATAATCCAGATAATTATCGAGGAATTAGTATTTTACCTATCTTTACTAAACTTCTACAGTATCTAATACTACGAATATGTCCTAGTATAACAGATAGCCATTCCCATCAATTTGGTTTAAAAAAAAACAGTTCTGCACTCCACGCAGAATTTTTACTGAGCGAAACTGTTATGCACTATAAAAACAATAACACGCCTTTATATATGTGCAGTTTAGATGCTAATAAAGCTTTTGATACTTGCAACTGGGATTTGCTATTTGAGATGCTGTATTTCCAAAAAAAACTTCCGTTGTCTGTAGTACGCACAATATCATCCCTTTATCATTCTGGTTCTGCAAACATATTCTATCAAGGTGTTACCTCAAATCAATTCAGTCTATCACAAGGGGTGCGACAAGGGTCTATTCTATCGCCACATTTATATAACATTTATACTGAAAGCATCCTAAATGAAATTGTCTCAGAATGTAAAGTAGGATCGACAATAAATGGAATTTATACTGGTGTAATTGCATACGCAGATGATGTAGTTTTGCTAAGCCCCACAATATCTGGTCTGCAGGAACTGATTAGCAGATTTCAAACATATGGAGTAGCAAACTTTATCAAGCTAAACAGTGAGAAAACAGAATTTCTGATTTCTGGAAAAAGTTATATTCCTAACAACGTTGTTAAAATTAATGGAGTATCTATATATCTTCAAAATAAATTAAAACATCTGGGTTTTCAATGGGAAAACGATACCAGCAAAAATAAAATTGCAACACTCCGAAAGAAAAATTTAAATGAGTGTATAACTCATTTTCAATCAGTTGCAAAAGCTCTAATCGACAGTGGGATTCGTTACTGCCAGCCATCAACAATTGTTCATCTGTACAATACATTAACAGTGCCGAAGCTTATATATGGTCTTGAACTATGTAAATATGATACTAATTTTCTCAGCAATATAGACGCTGTTGGAAGAGCAGTCTTAAAATCATTTTTTTGTATTTCGAAGTACAGTAAAAATTACCTTCATTCTTTTTTTAAAACAGAAGATATCTCAACTATTCTCCTTAGAAACAAAGTTAATCTTTTTATCAGGGTGCTGAAAAATCAAACTTGTTACTCACTGATAGTTAATCAAATACAGGAAACACAGAATAAAAAATCCTTTACAAACGAAGTATTTGATGCATGCAACACACTTGATTTAAATTTCATACAGTGCATGTTAAATGGCAAAAAAATTAAATTGACGCAACCCATCGCTACAAACTAATATTATGCTAATATTAAAAGAAACATTCCAGTTTTGGAATTTTAAAGAAAAGAGAGAGGCGTTTAAAATCTTGATGGAGGAGAATGTTCCTAGAACTCTGTCCCAATAATATGTGGAAAACAAACCAGCTGTTTATAAGCATTTATTGCTAACAACTACAAGAGCCGTGTTGTTTTAGCTGATTTTTAATTTATTGTTTGACTATTTAAATATTATTTTACCTGTAATTTACTACCGGGTGATAAAGAGAAAATATAATATAATAAATTATTATTTTATATTTTTTGTTGAAATATTTAAAGAATACCCAAATATTACGATGATAAAACGCACATTTTTGAAACAAAAAAATGAATTATAAATTTATATAATAATTATAATTTTACTGCAATAAAAAATGTTTGAAAATTTTAAGTAAAATTTTAAAAAAATGTTTTAACCCTATCTGATACTGTGGCATTATATTTTAAAATATACTTTATTTTCGGATTATTTTACCTGTAAAATAATCTATAAATATATATATATATATATATATTTATATATATATATATATATATATATATATATATATATATATATATATATATATATATATATATATATATATATATATATATATATATATATATATATATTTATATATATATATATATATATATATATATATATATATATATGTATATATATATATATATATATATGTATATATATATATATATATAAATATATATATATATATATATATATATATATATATATATACATATATATATATATATATATATATATATATATATATATATATATATATATATATATATATATATATATATATATATATATATATAAAACATAACTTACATGAGCTTCCTGAATCAAAAGAACAATAACAGCAATACCAGTGAAAACATAAATCCTTACATAAGCTGCCCTGTATAGTTAAATATTATATATATATATATATATATATATATATATATATATATATATATATATATATATATATATATATACATATATATATATATATATATATATATATATATATATATATATATATATATATATATATATATATATATATATATATATATATATATATATATATATATATATATATATATATATATATATATATATAAACTAAATTCAAGCAAGAGCTAAATATCATTCAAAACATTAAAAAGTGATGTGCTTCTTTTGCCTCAATGAATACAGAAAATGTGCTCTACTAGATTGTAAGCCAGAATCAGTAAAATTAGTAATAGAATTTGTGGATCATAGGTTTAATGTAGAAACTAATTTTCGACTATCTAACATATTTAGAACTTGTTTTAAAAGATTGCATTTAGTTAATAGTTTTAAAAGATTGCATTTAGTAAATAAGGTTTTATCATTTTTAAGTTTATCAGTTACTTTAAAGTTTGTACTTTTAAAAACTTTTTATAAAAATATGAGCATAAGTAAATCAGTGGAAGAGTCCACAAAAAAAAATTTGTTTTAAAAAAAATAGAAAAGAGTATTTGTAGATAAATCATTGTGTGAGTGTCCAATTTTAAGGATTGAAAAAAATACAAGAAGCCATAAAAGTTAAAGTCTATAAGAATTTATAAATAAAACTATTTCTAAACAAAGAAACATTGTTGACCTTGATAAGTTATTTTTCTTGCAATGTAATCAGAAGTTATGGAAGGGTATTGGCCAGAGAGATTAAATTCAAAATCTGCAGTATTTCATACAATCCGAAGGTTCAAAGATTTCCCATGGAGTTGTATCTTTAGTAGTGAAGAAATAGGCTACGAAAGTGGGAAGTAAAACACTAAATCTTGCAACAAGTAAATTTCATTTTAAACGTGATTAAGTAAATTTTCAAATAAAATATTTTAATGAAAAATTAATGTCTGAAAAGATGGTAAGTCAATGCAAATCAACAGTTTTCAAATTAGGCACCTCTTAAAAGGAAAGCAGTTTTTCCAATGATACCTATAAATTGTATGATGACTGAGATTAGGAAGGACTTCGGAAGTCAAGGTATTAATCCGATCGTATCAAAGATCATCAAATACATTTTTTCTTAAGAAGTATTATTATAATCAGACTCTTTTGAATTTCAACTCACTTATAAGGTATTACGTAAGCTACTACGTATATTAACATTGAAATAAGCATAATATATCTTTCCAAAATAGCTACACATGTTATGCTATATATTCTTTAGGTCGCTAAAAAGAAGGTTTTGGAACTAATTTCAAAAGATGTGGTATATGTTCCTGAACCGTGGAAACTAATAGAAGCAATCAAAGAGACCTGAACCCATTCTGTTGCTTCATTAGTGTGAATTTGATAGCAATCAAGTTTCTTTAAATGTTGTCATTAACATTTTTGATTCAGAGTATTCAACTAGCTATAACAATTTTAAGTACACTAGCGTCAATAAAGTATTAACTTTATCCACTGCGCGTGGAGTTGACCAATTACAACAGACCGTTTACAACTTAAAAAAATTGATCAAGACAAAAAAAATTAAATGAACTGAAGTTTTAAGTGGCAGCAAATACTAATTTAAGCAACACTATGTTGGGTCTTTCAGTGAAGCTATTTTATTAGAAATCAAATTACTTATATATATTAAATACTTATATATAATATTGATATATAAGCGTTTTAAGTTTAAATAAAATTTGTTAAAAAATTTTATTAAACTTTTATTGTTGAGGGCATGGAGGGAAGTTTGCCCGCTGGTATTGTGAAGGACCGAAAGAGGAATCCATCGGCTAGCTAAAAATATTTCAAAGTCTTAATGCTTGGTACCTAAAGTATGTTGAAGACGACGAGCAGTACAGGAAAATGCAGATTTACAAAAATGTTGCTGGTTGATGTTTGCTACAAGAAAATTCAGAAACTCTGGTGGTTGACATAGTGCCACCTCCTAAACTACATTTGAGCATATTACTATTATTTGAGCATATAGTGACTCAAGTTACAGTTGTGCTAATGGCTGATGAGTTTACTCAAAAGTCCTGACTAAAGTAAGGAGGAAGCTTAGTAAAAGTAGCAATTAATAAGGGAAAAAAGTAGTTAAAAAAAACATCCTACATACAATATTTAAATATTTTCTTTTAGTTGCTAAAAGTTGTTTTGGAATAGAGCAATCACCAGATTTTAGAAAACACATCAAAGATTTTGTCGTGGAAATCTGCAACTTTGAAAACTGTCTTAAAAATCATACTAATTATGCTTTCAGCCTGGGTTAGAAATTTTACCTCATACAAGCACATCTTGCATCTTTTATTGAAAGGAAACAAAACCTTTGGATGTTTTTAGTGAAGAAACCTTTGAATCTGTACACAAAAACATTAATAAAATAATGAAGATATTTGTAACTTCAGAACTTAATAAATCATACGGAGAAATATTGATGAAAATGACAGTCACATATTTAAGTATGAGAGTCTATAGAGTCAGTAGAAAAATTATACAATATAAAAAGAACATTTACATTATGTTTATGACAATTTTAATCATTTAACATTTGTAATTTAGCCGATATGTTATGATGTAAAAGAATATGTCAATTTCCTCTAGCTTTTTTTTGTTAGTTTTTTAGATTTAAAACTTTTTGAAACTTATTTATTTGTTTATTAAACATGAATGTATCAAAGTTACACTTACCAATGCATACACCAATAATCTGCAATGTATCTGCATTAAATATTCATATCACACATTCAATTCCATACACTCTGTGCAGGGTGTTTCATTAAAAAATTGTCAAAATCTCCAATTAAGATGCAGTTTTTATTTTATTTTTAGCTGTTACTCTGTCAAGTTGACATTTATTTTTGCATTACCATGAAATTCAACTTAAAACATCTAAATTGATGCAGTGAAAAGGATTTGGGTTTGTATTCTAATCTTTTTCTTCATTGTTCTGTCTATTCGTTCTCCTTATATTACTCATTTTATCCATTTTATATATTTTATTTAAATATATATATTTTTTTTTATTTAGCTAAAAAATTTTTTTTATGATCTTTATAAGATAATTTATAGCATATATGTTTTCGCTACCGACCTTTTCAAGTTTTTTAAATTTAAAATTTAATAACTTAATAATAATATCCATTAATGTAGGATACTTTTAGTATAAAAAATATTGAAAGTCAACGTTTGTTAAAAAAGAATAAATTATGAGGATGCTCTTTAATACAATGTTGATATGGATATCACAAATGCATCAGAACATTGTTTGAAACCTCATATGTTCAAAATTAAAATGTATTCTAGCTAAATGATCAGTCTATAAATTGAAATCTTGGCTATGAAAATACATGTTTAATATTGCATGACAGACGTGTACAAACAAACGGATATCAACCTACAACCCAATCACAAAATTTTATCGAATTTTAAACTAAACTTTTAAACTTTACCGGAATTCTGAACTTCTTTCTAATTTTTTCTCGTATCATTGCCCGAATAAACACTCCAATACATGATGTTCCTAAGCAACCGTAAATTAAGCAGTTATCTCCAACTTGTTCTGCATTTTTACCAATAATTATTGCTGGTGCACAGTAAGCGATAACAGTTATACCAAAGTCATTGCAGCAGATGCAAAAACCATTTTTAAACCCTGGCATTTCAAATAACAGCGTCTAAAGTATCCACACTACTATATACTCAATGTAAGTTTTGTTCGATGGGAATTTCTTTTACATATAGAACAAAGACAAAAATAAAATATTTGTTTATTTCGTTGATTAAGTTAGTATTAATGAACAATAAGCTTTAGTTTATTCAAATATATCTGTTGTAATATGCCTCGAAACTGGGTTTTTAAAAAATAGTTTATAAATTACAAAAGAATGCTTAAAATAAATTCCTTTTGTTAAAAAACAAATGATATCAAACATACAAAGATTACAATCTATTTTTCATTAATAGAAAACTATAAAACCGCATCACACATTAAAAATAAACATTAAATCAGTAATTATAAAGAATCGAATGTTGTTTATAGTAACAAAAATAGTTTAGAAAAACTCTTGCTATTTTATTTACAATTAAACAATTTGAAAATATTTTAAACTTGTTGCTGCATGTCACTACTACTAATTTTTAATTTTAAATAAATTTCTAATCAACGATAGATTTGATGTAAAAACAAATTAGAGGCTACAGAATAATTAAAAACATTATCAGTTTTGTAAATTTGGATATCATTCTAAAACTAACTGTTTTAAATGTAAAATTACTCTTAATGTAAAATTATTCTTTATAATAAAACTTTTTTTTCATTTCAAAAATTAAAAAAATCAAAAGTATGGAAAAGTAAAAAATCAAAAGTAATGGAAAAGTATTGCATTAAAAATCAAACCATAAAATGGTTCTCAAACTTTCTACATAATAGACAACAATGTGTTATTATGGATCACCTTTACAATTCAAAGCAGTTACAAATAAAATGTGGTGTCCCTCAGGGATCTATTTTAGCTCCTCGTCTATTCCTAATCTACATTAACGACCTTCCTAAAGTCTCATCCAAATTAGATTGCATTATTTTTGCAGATGATACCAATATGTTTTATTCTTCAAATTCTATCAACGACCTCTTTTCAAGCGTAAATTTAAAACTACAAAAATTTAACTCATGTTCAGAGCTAATAAGTTGTCATTAAATTCAAACAAAACCAAGTACATTTTATTTCACCCCACCGATAAAAAAAAAATCATTACCACCAATCTTACCTGTTCTCAGCATAGACAACTCAATTATTGAAAGAACTCATTCGTCTAAATTTCTTGGTGTACTTCTCGATGAAAATTTATCTTGGAATTTTCATATAAACGCTATTAATACAAAAATATCTAAAAATATTGGTCTACTTTTTAAAGCAAGACCTTTTCTGTCTTACGATAATTTAAAATTACTTTATTTTTCAGTTATAAACTGCTATCTATCATACGCCGATATTGCATGGGCTAGTACCCATAAAAGTAAGCTAATTTTACTACATCGACAACATAAACATGCTTTTAGAATGATATTTTATAAAGATAAGCTTACTCATGCAAGTCCATTACTTAAAAATGAATGCTTTAAACCTTTACCAAATCAACATATATTAAAATATTTTGTTTATGTTCAAACATAGAATGGGAATCGTCCCAAGTTGATTCAAAAACAACTTTTTTAATACTAATATAAATAAATTTATTGAGCACAGGGCCGCCGAGAGCTTTTGTGGCGCCCGGGACATAACGTTGAGTAGGCGCCCCTTTAAGCATACATGATTTAAAAAAGAATTTATAGAATTTATTCATGCATGTATATGACTGTAGACGGTTTTAAAATGAATTTTCATAATTGTGGTTTATTTCTATTAAAATCATTTTACAACAAAATTTTCAAAAAATGCGTCTATAAAAAATACAACTAAGCAACGCCAATATAACATAAAGTGTATAATTAGACATTCTTTAGAAATTAAAATAACAAAAAACGGTCTACATAAAACACTCTTTATTTGTTTTTTTACCGGCAAAATTTATTATTGTATCATTATATGAAAGAGTTTAGCCAACACATTTTTGACTGAAAACATCATGAGATCCGAAAGACGTTCTTGTCCCGTTGTGGCCCTACAATAATTCTTTATCAATTTTAGTTTACTAAAGGATCGTTCACCCTCTGCAACAGATACTTGCATTGTATTAAAAATTCGAATTAAAATGCATACATATGGAAAAATAGGCTGCAGACTCTTTGAATGCATTTGGTTAAGAAGGCTCAATGAGTTTCTAGGAATAAAAAACGAAGGTTCCTTCAAACAATTAAGATCCAAAATTTCTTGTATGAAGTTGTCTTATTTGACATCATTAGCGTAGAACTGTGCTAATTCACGAGCTTTGATCTTTTGAGAATCTGGTTCCTGGTTTTTCAGCCAGATAAATGAGAACCTTGAAGAAACACTCTTTACTATGTCAAATCTTGACTGAATTTGATAAATAAAATGATCAAGAGCGACATTAAAGATGTTTCCCTCAAATTGATGTTCGGGGCTCTGATAGCAGAAAGCTGCATTTTCAAGTTCATCGTGATACAGTTTCATTCTCTTCTTTCGTTTTGCCAAAAATTCCGTTTTGAAGCCTAGAGGACCAGCAACAACGTCAAAATATTATTCCATGGTGAGCCGATGCGCTCAAGATTGTTTATTAGCTGTTGAATTAGAATAACTTCGTCATCTATTCTTAGTGAAGTTGACTGGAACAAACGGCTTACTTAATCTACTACTTGAAGAACTTTATATCAAAAGGTCTGAAGCACAACAGACTCAAAGGATTTATAAAAATTTATCAAAGACTTTGCTTGATTTACTTATTTATATATTTTAACCTTGTTTTACTTTTACTTTTTTTAATTTTTTTATCTTTAAAATAACTTTTTAATTTACCCATTTTTTTTTTTCTTTCCGCTTTTCACCTTTGAATAAGCAGATTTGCCATTTGAGATGCAATTGCATAGAGTGACATTGAAATATGCATTTTAATACTTTCGTGAGATAATATGCCAAAATGTAATACTTTCATATTATGCATATATACAAAAATAGTTCTCTCTAAAAAACTCACTGCACTAAACAAAATAATCCGCAAACATGAAAGCCGCCATTGTAACTTAATTAAACTTCTAATTTATTTAATGAAATTATGGGGGCGACTGAATAAGTGCGAATTTCATAACTGCGAATCGGCATAAGTGCGACTGGCATAAGTGCGAACTGGCATAAGTGCGAACTGGCACAAGTGCGAACTGGCATAAGTGCGAATCAATTGCAAAAACTGGAATAAGTGCGAACTGGCACAAGCGCGAACTGGCACAGAAATAATTTTCTAATATTCGTGTTCAAAAATTATGACCATGTAAAGTTTGATCCCCCCTCCTCTTGATTTGAAGAGACATGATACACGTGTACGTGTATCATGTATGTAAAATAGTTAAATGAGTGTAGCGTTGAGCAACCGAACTAGCTTCATCAATTAATTGTTTGTGCTAGGAGGATCAATCTTCATCGCACAAACGGCTAATTGATGTAACTAGTTCGGTGGCTCTATGCTGCACTCATTTATATTAGATTTCTTTTCCGCTAGACATCCTAAATTGGTCTCATATAAAAGTCTTGAGAACGTCGTATCCGGACAAACTAAAGACGTCTTTCTAGACGTCACACAGTAGTGTGTGTGTGTGTGGGGTGGGGGGGATGGGGGGTGGGGGTGGTACTTTATATTTTAATCTAAAGTTTTAAAAGAAGAAAAAACAATAATATAGATTTAGAAGTTACATCATATTATTACTTTATTCTACGCTATCAGGTTCGTATGAAATATTTCAATTTAAAGCTGTTTTCTTTATAAATATTGCATGTATCTAAGTATACTTTCTTAAAATGTTTAACTATATCTATATTACACTTCTAATATACGCTACAATAACTGTTAAAGTGACGTCATTGCAAAATTCAAATTTGATATGTTATTCTGAAACATCTCTTGAAACTATAGAATTTGAGTTGACATTTATACAAATATTTTTATGGCAATACCAACTAGAAAATAAAATTATACTAAAAGAACATGCTTTCCTAAGAGTTATTTTATTATTATCTGGTGACTTAGAACTATGACCTGGACCAATGTATTTGAACCATATTATTTCAGTGATGGAGAAACTTGAAGATATTCTGTATATGAAAGACTTACAATGTTTTCATTTAAATATCTGTGGCCTATGGAACATTTAGCATCATTTATTTGTTTAACTGCAACAAAAGCATTGACAAACCCATAAACCCATATAAGCAAGGACGACCCTAGTAAACTATATCGTATCGAGGGTTCATGCATATCTAAGCAACATACGTAAAAACAGACTGGGTGGATGTGTTGCCGTTTACATATCTAATAAGTTAAACTGGGTAAGACGTAACGATCTCAAATCCAACGAAATAAGCGCGTTTGTTTCGAAAAAATACTTCCAAAGACGAAGAGTATATTGTTTTTTGTCCTATATTGCCCACCGGATGGATCGAAATACCTTAGCCACAATTTCTCTAACCTATTTTCAGTAATGATATCTAAACCTAATTAACTATGGTTTCAAACAACTAATAAAAAGCGCAACCAGAACAACGTTAACATCTTCTACTTTAATTGTCGTAATTTATACAAATAATCTAACTCCGAAATGTAAAGAGAACCTTTTTTTTAGTCATTTTTACGCTGTGGCACATATACAATCGATCTCAATGTACACTACAGCCACGTTTTTATTTTTTGCAGTCTTTAACAGTATGTACTAAATTTTCACGTATTTTACTACATTTAGTTTTTCATAACAATTTTTCCGTTTCAGTTTTTCAGTTTTCATTTTTTGTCTTTTGAAATTAAATTTTAAAATTATATTCATTTCTTAGTTCGGGCAGACAAAAAACTGCTTTTGCATAAATAAAATTACATTTTTTTTTGTTGTTGTTAACTTTATGGCTAATAAAAGGTATTTTTCTAAAATTATGGAAAAGGTTGGGGAGAGGAGGAGAAGAAGGACATTAAATAATACTTTTACGGTTATGTCTTTTTTATTTGATGTTCGAAACCAAACCAAACAAAACCAAACAGTTGTAAGAAAAGTACCTTTAATTTTCAACTTCAATCGAGTATATAATTTTTTTTTTTACAGA